AGCTGGTAAAAGGGGTCCACTCTTATAGATTAATAATAGAATTAATATTAATTAATTCTAATTATTACTAATAATATTAATTTATAATTAATATTAATTAATATTATTAATTAATTGATATTATTGTCATTTAAAATGTATCTGCAGCTCGAAGACATTTAGCCTATTTTAATTTTGGCCCCTAACTACTGCCAAGTTGTGCAGGCCTGCACTATACTATGGCTTACCACACAGTAGAAGGATCGGGGGCCGCAATCCCATGCTGCGGCTCCGATCCTTCCTTTTGCCACCCCTGAAAGAGCGGCAAAAGGCCGCTCCTTTTAAGGGTGGCAAAAGGCCACCTTAAGAGCCAGCGCTGTGGCTCTTCTGTGCCCTTTCAGCACAGCGTGTCTACACGCTACGCTGGGAGGGCATCAGGACAGTGTCGGGGTGCAGTTGGGGTGGCAGGCATGTGGCTGCCCCGCCCCAACTCCACCCCCAGGCCGGCCCTTTAGGCCGATCTGCAATGCCCCTGTGGCCCTTCTGATATTGATGCATTCCTACTTATTATCATCAGTACTCCCAGTATTCAGCACATGTGAAAAGCATAATTCCCTGACTTAGTGTTACATTGCATCAGCTTAATGCCATGAAAAACGCAGGCAATCAATCCACCAGTTGCTTCCAAATTTATTTTTATAGAGGTAGAAGTAGAGAAAATATATCTCACATATGGGTTACTTTGCTTGTGGCAACTGTATAAAGTAATGTCAGTTCAGTTTTATTGTCTAGGATATCCTTCCCTCCCCACCCCCCCAGAGTGCAATTGTTGGTGGTTAGGCAATAAGTGGATCAGATTAATATGCACCTACATAAAAAGCTTATGCATGAAAACATCAGTAAATGAAATCTGTAACTCCCCAGTTTCTCCCTCACTTATTATCACCAACAATTGTTGCTGTTGTTGTTAATTGAAAGTTTGTTGGAATATAGGGGAATGCTTGCAAGAGTGTGTAAGGCTTAGGGAAGAATTCATATTCAGTTATTTCTGCCTGACATAATATTTTATAATGAATCAATTAGATGATAAGCCATTGTGACAAAACAGGGAATGTACCAAATATCTACCCTCCAAAACAAAACAAAAATGCCTGACTTATTCAGTGCAACTTCCATTACTGCATTTGAAAAACTCCCAGCATTATATTTTAACAAATAGCCTGTGTCAGACTTTATTCAACCTCAACACATGGCTAAAAGTGTGTTGTAAAAGTAACAAACCAACAAAACTCTAACAAATTAAAGATACAAAACTGAACTGATGCCTACTCTTGAAAGAATATTTATAGGCAGATAATGTTTGCTTCTACATAGCCCCAAGGACATATATTATAAATAATACTCATATTTTTGGAAGATGTATTTAATGCATGAGGGGGACCCAGAAATACATTGTATGCATCTTGACTCTGTGTGCACAGGTGTCTTCTGCTTCCCTCTCAGTGGTATCACTAGGGTTGGTATCACCCAGTCCAGTAATTCATAGTGTCATCCCTCCCCCCTTCACCTCCTGCCATACCAAACCATACGGAATCCTTATTTAAAAAAAAAATTGTACTTATGTTACTTATAAATCATAATTCCCATACATCACTGACTGTAATGGTAACACTTGTGACATAAACAACTTGCAAAATTAAAATTATACTTTTAAATTACAATATTATATGCACAACTTAAATGTATTTACATATATACGATTTCATGTGGTTGAAGTGAAAATCTGGTAAAATTTGATGTTTTTTAATAATTTTTTCTTTTTTTAAAAAAATAAATTCTTTGTTAGCCTTAATAACCAAACAGCATAAAAATACAAATCATTCACAAGAACAGTTACAGAGATCAAACAATGGAAAACATACACAGAATCACAAACCATATGAACACTAACATAAAAAAAAGATCTCCAAGTCTCTAATCCTGGCTATTTCTGATTGTGGCATGTTCTTTTACTAATTGCTTATTCTAATTTCTATTCACATTTTGAAATTGTATTTTAAATTACGTTATTTTCCTTTAAATGAAGT